CGGTCTCGGGCGAGCATAGAGCCGAGGAGCACGACTCAGGCGGGCAAGCCACGCAGAGGTCGTGGGCTCGGGCAGCATGGAGCCGAGGAGCGACTTGGTTTTGGTCAGCAATCCATTGCTTAGTGACGCGCGGGCTTGGGCAGCCAGGTTACTTCCCTGCCAGGGAAGCCCAGGGGACCATCACTTTCGGGAGTCGTTGGTTTTCGAGGCTGATAAGATAAGCGCTTCAGCATTCGCATCGCGCGCCAGTTGGCTGCCATGTCAAGCCATATTTATGGCGAAGTGACGTTTGGTCTGCTTGACGCAACGTGCTTCAGGAGAGGAAGGATCGCCGTTTTTGCGGGATTTGGCCTATAAATAGCGTGCAGTTGGCTTCCTGCACGTCTTGTTTCTTGCATTCGCCCAGTTGCTCCTTCGGACTATGTTGCTCCGTCCGAATCGGCTATCCTGCTATTCCTTCCTAAGGTCGGTGAGGATGGCTTCCCCTTCTTCCTTGCCCCCGTCTTCTTCACCATCCACCTCCGGTAATGCCGGAGAGACAATATTGTCGCCGAGCCCCAACTCATCATCCGACGAAAAAGCGGCTATGACTCTCGAAGCCTTAATGTGGCCGCACGACCTCGACTCTACCATGAGCGAGTCGTCACTTGGTTACCTCCGGGGCCGTTATGGTATCCTGGAGGAGTTTGTTCTTACTGCCCCCGAGCCGGGGCAGCGGGCGTACGACCCTATCCCAAAGGGTTTCGCCCTGACTTTAGACGCCTTCGAGGTCGGGCTAAGCCTCCCATTGCATCCTGTCATCTCCTCTTGTATTTCGTGGTGGCGTATTTCCCCATCGCAGATGACACCGAACTCCTAGTGCTATCTGGTGGCGTTCATAGGGGAGTGTCACTACGCCAACATTACTCCGACCCGGTCCCTCTTCCTCTCCTATTTTCGCCTTTCCAAGGGTTCAGGGGGCTACTATATGTCCGCCCGAGCCGGCTTCCGGGTTAGTGGTGCCCCTTCCAGTAATAAGGGATGGAAGGGGCGTTTCTTTTTTGTTTGTCATTCGGAGAACTGAGGCTTCGGGCTCCAATGGGCGGCGCACATGATTGACAACACCTCTCCGTCCCTGAAAGATGAGGAGCGCAGGGAACTTCGACGGCTCAAGGAGATTCTCCCAGCCTCTCGGGTCATCCGGGAGATGACCGAGGGGTGGCTGGTCGAGGCGGGTCTTCGGGTCATCCGGGAGATGACCGAGGGGTGGCTGTTCGAGGCGGGTCTTAACCCGGTGCCTCGAGGTATGCCCACGGCGGGTAATGCTAGGGTTTTCCTAAGGATCGTTTTTGGTGTTATGACCAATGTTGATGTTTTCGTGCAGAGATGGTGAACCTTATCGTTGTGCGCGGGGGGCACTCTTCGTCGGTCACGTTGTCACATCAAACGACCAAGCCCGGGGCCGGCACAAAAGAAGTGCCAGTACAACTTGAGCCCAACAGGCTTCGGAAGAAATCGAAGATGGGACCCCAGAAGGGGGATATACCTCCACCTCGGGCCAGGGAGATCGTTGCTGAACCGGGCCGCCGTGATCGACGACGGGGCCCTGGTCGAGGCGAGGCCGGCCCGAGCAACGAGATGGCAGTGAAGGCGCCTTGGGAACCTTCCATCTGCGATCTATGTCGCCTCCCTGCGGGAACGCAGGATGAGCCCTATCAAGCTCGGGTGATGGGCGGACTCCCGGAGGGCCAACCCTCCAAGTCGCTGGTCACCCGATGGGCGGGCCTGACCCGTGGGACCCGGGTGTGGGCTGATGGAGATCTTTACACCATACCCTCAGACGTTTTGTTGGGCAAGTTTGCTAAGTCATTGTTGTGGGTAAGCATTTTGCTATCGACAACCTTGCCCGAACGGTACTTGTCCTAACTTTTTCTCTTTGCAGAGCCATCACTATACCATAGTGTTGATGGACCGCGTTCGCGACACGGGTCGGGCCCTCAGCGTTTTGAGCGAACGCAACGCCGAGCTGCATCGGCAAATTGAGGAGGTCCGCGCAGGGGCCGCTCCAAAGGCGGTCGCTGCGAATGAGCAGCGAGCTTCTGATTTGGAGGCGGAGGTGTCACGCCTCTCCTCTACCTTGAGGGCGGCCGAGCAGCATGCCTCGGAGCTGGAGGCACAGTCGGCGCGCCTCACATCAGAGGCAAAGGCGACCAAGGACCAGAATAACGAGCTGTAGTCGCTCCTGAGGGTGACTCGAACCGAGGCTCGTTTGTCCCAGGACGAGGCGACGAGCCTCGCGCGAAAGCTGGAGGAGGCGCGCGCCGATGTAAAGAGGGCTTCCAACGTCCTGGCCGCCGAGATGAGTCAGCGGCCGGAGAGAGACAGGAAGCTGATCGAGGACTACAAAGAGTTCTCGAGTTTTCAGTTTGGTCTGGTCCGATCGGGGAATGTCACCTATGAATATGGGTACCGGATTGCCCTGGCTTGTTTCAAGGCATGCCACCCTAACCTGGAGGTCGAGGAAGACCCCTTCACCTCTTGCCCCGAAGACCCGAGCGTCGGGATGCCAGATGAGGTCCCTTTTGACGACAATGCCGAAGCCTCCGAGAAATAGAGCATTGTAATAACTTTAGGAGTTTAGTCTGGGGCTAAGCTTGTCTGGTCCTGTAATCAGTTTTTTGACTTTAATAAAAGCTTTCGTTTCAAACTTCTTGCGTACTTCACCTCTCCTTTATACGAAGAATTTCTTGAGATTTTGCATGTTCCATGTCCTTGGCAAAGGGTGGCCCTACATGGTTGCAAGCCGATACGTGCCGACCCGGACGATGTCGATAACCCGATAAGGTCCTTCCCAATTGGGGGCGAGTTTGCCGCGCGCTCGGGTCGGGTTGCTGACCTCGGTCTTGCGTAGGTCCAGGTCGCCTAATTTAATGGGTCAAGGTCGCACCTTGCGGTTATAGATTCTGGCGACGACTCTCTTGTAGGAGAGGTCTCTCAAGTGTGCGACAGCACGCCGCTCTTCGAGCAGGTCGAGGCCGGCTCGTATCCCTTGGGCTGAAGTCGTTTCATCGTACTTTTCCGTCCGAGGGGTAGGGAAAACCACTTCGGGGGGTAGGATGACCTCGGTCCCATATGAGAGGCTGTAGGGGGATTCTCCAGTTGCGGTTTTGGGGGTGGTCCGTAGGGACCATAGGATACTCGGGAGCTCGTCCACCCAAGCGGATCGGGCCGCAGACACTCTCCTCTTGAGTCTATCTAAAATAGATCGGTTGGTCACCTCGGCCAACCCGTTTGTCTGGGGGTGGGCGACCAAGCTGTACCTCAACTGAATCCCATAGTTCGCGCAGAACTCTCGGAACCTTGTGCTGGCGAACTGGGATCCGTTGTCCATGATGATGGTTCTGGGCAAGCTGAACCGAGTCACGATATTTTTCCAGACAAATTTCTCCACTTGTCGCCCCGTGATTGTTACTAGTGGCTCGGCCTCGGGCCACTTGGTGAAGTAGTCTACCCCCACGACGATATATCTCCGTTGCCCCAAGGCCAGTGGGAAAGGGACGAGAAGGTTCAGTCTGCATTGCGCGAATGGCCACGCGCAGTCAATGGGTGCGAGCGGAACTGCAGGCTATCGGGGCGTTCGGGTGTGCCTCTGGCACGGGCCGCACCGCTGTACGTAGGATCTTGCGTCTTGGGACATGGTGGGCCAATAGTATTCTTGGCGGAGGACTTTGCAAGCCAAGGTCCGTCCAGCGATATGCTCTCCGCAAATCCCCTCATGGACCTCGGTCAGGATCGTCTGGGATCTCTTTAGGCCTGAGGCACCGTAGTAGAGGATGCGAGAAGGACCGCCTGTAGAGTCATCCGTTCACCTCATAGTACCATGCGTGCGTTTGGCGGATGCACCGAGCCGCAGCCTCGTTGGCGGGAAGAATCCCGTCGCGCTTGAAGTGCAGCATCTCCTGCAACCACATGGCATGATCGTCGGCTGAAGATACAGCTGAGACCGAAATGGTGCGAAAGGGGAGCACTTCAATCCCGGACTGGGCTTTGGAGTCCGACCTTGAGGCCAGTTTAGCCAGCTCGTCGGCTTGTTCGTTCTGACTCTTTGGCACCCTAGATACCGTAAAGTGAGAGAAATTGGAGGCTAAGCTTTTTACCTCCACCAGGTACTTCGCCATGGTTGGTTCCCTGGGTTCGTATCCGCCGTCAAGTTGCTCGGCTACCAACTGCGAATCGGTGAGGACGTGAACGACGTTCACCTGCATCTCGAGGGCTAGCCAGAGTCCTAGCAAGAGCGCCTCATACTCGGCTTCGTTGTTGGTTGCACGAAACCCGAAGCGGAGAGAGCGTTTTAACGAACGTCCATCGGGGGCTGATAACACCAATCCCGCGCCCGCACCACTCTTGGTAGTCGAGCCGTCCACGTGCAGGATCCATGCTTACCCCGGATGCCCGGAATCCTCGTCTTCTATCTGAACGAGTTCCGAGATGAAGTCGGCTATCGACTGGGCTTTGATTGCTGTCCTCGACATGTACTGTATGTCGAACTCTCCAAGCTCTACCGACCACTTGAGGAGCCAACCTGCACCGTCGAATTTAGATAAAATCTGTCTGAGCGGTTGGTCCGTGATTATTGTTGAATCTCGTATTTTGATGATGAAACTACTTGATATATGTTTATGATTTAATATGCGTTTTGAGTGACGCAGGATGCTTTGATCAGGATGAGACAATTAAAGCAGGAAAATCATGTTGTGCCGGAGGAACATGTCAGAAGATTGGATGTCGGGCCGGTAGATCGGTCGACGTATCGACAGAAGGCTTCGGGCAGTGGACTCGGGCATCGGGCCAAGAAGAGCGATTATTGTGCCAAGGATATCGGAGTTGCGGAGTCAACTGGCCGATTGGGCAATAGGCCGCAGGAGAGGACGATGCGCCGAAGAATCAGACGAAGCGTCGAGGGACCAATGACATGCCGGACAACTTGGTTAATTGCTTAGGATTAATTGTCTCGATCGAAGTTTTGTTTTAATTGTGCAGGATTAACTATGATAACGATGAAGACATAAAGCGAAACAAAGTGTCGGAGTCAAGCGCGAAGGATTTGTTGCGAGTTCGAGAGTTCGACGGAAGTCCGAAGGTTCGTCGGGAATGCTATC